GGCCAAAAAACTTTCCCGGTGCTCCCGATTAGCCAATCCGGGCCTGTGTAACAGGTATGGAAATAATAGTTCACTTTTCTTTATAGAATTACACAAAATGTGTGTTTTACCTGAAGTGTTTATTAAGTATACCTGCTCCTTTAAATTTCTAAGAAAGCTTAAGTTTTCTAATTTCCTGTTCTGCACCCGCCTCCTCCTTTTCTGTACTGACTGCACATGGGAGAGGTGGGTGTCTGCAGCTCTAATTAATCTTAAATCATATTTACTTGACTTTTGAAGCCAGTTTTTATGTTTCAATATTATGTATAACTTTCTTTTTCACATATTTCACATAGTTCGTTATTTTTGTGTTTTCACTTTAATTGAGGTTTTGATTTATATTTGTCTGATTGAAGCATGTAAAAGTGATGAGGGCGAAGACACACTGTAAAATCTGTGCTTTTGTTTACATCAGGAGTGATTAAAGAGCCGTCACAACTGCTGATACCTGTCTGGTTATTCCCACAATAAAAAGAAAACAATGCAGAACCCTTGATGGAGCTGCCAAATATCAGATGATGGGTTCAAAGTAACAATGTGTAAATTATGTTTAAAGTGAAATTCATTCAATCATTCATTTTCATTTCGGCTTAGTCCCTTTATTAATCGGGTGTCACCACAGCGGAATGAACCGCCAACTTATCCAGCATAAGTTTTACGCAGAGGATGCCCTCCCATGTTGCAACCCATTACTGGAAAACACCCATACACTACAGACAATTTAGCTTACCCAATTCACCTATACCGCATGTCTTTGGACTTGTGGGGTAAACCAGACCAACCAGTGAAAACCCACACCAACACGAAGAGAACTAAAGTGAAATTCTTCTATAATTTTTTTAAATACCACCCGATATTGATAGACCACACTTATGAGTTAGTAACCACAGCAAAACATATTTCTGTCTAAAACATCATCTTTTCAAAATACACTCATGAAATTGAGATTATTTCTGTTTACAAAAAAAATGTCTAATCTACAAATAAACTTTTATTCATTCATTCATTTTCTTTTCAGATTAGTCTCGTTGGTTCACCACAGCGGAATGAACCCCCAACTTATCCAGCACGTTTTTAGCAGATGCCCTTCCAGCTGCAACCCATCACTCGAGAAAACTAAACTTTTAGTTATTTCTAATTATTAACACACAGCCATGTCATTCATCTCAAAACCTTTATTGCTTCTTTTTACTGTTAGAAAGATATATCAGAGTAAAAAAAACTAGTGTAAAAGTCTGCGTCTCTCTGTGTCGCTCAGGCTGCACTGCAGTGTCTATTCACAGGCGCGATCCCACAACTGATCAGCACGGGAGATTTGACCTGCTCCGTCTCCGACCTGGGCCGGTTCACCCCTCCTTAAACGACCTGGTGGTCCCGAGCTCCCCCAGGAGAACCATATCGATACCGAATTTAACGCGGACACCCGATCAACATAGTCCACTGCAGCCCAGAAGCCCTGAACTCAAGCGATCCGCAGCCTCAGCCTCCCTGTAGCTTGGATTACAGGCGCGCGCCACTGAACCCGGCGAGAGCTGAGAGAATCAGAGCTGTGGAGAATCTGATCATCACAGCGACCTCTAGTGGAGGAAAACTGAATGATGAATAAAAACTGACTTCATAGCCTTATGACATTAGATAATAATAAACAGCAGTATGATCACAAATAAAAAAATTACAGTAATTAGTATCAACATAGTATTTTTGAACTAAAGATTATTATACCATATTTATTAGCCTTTACAACTCATTTTATGAGTGCCACAACATTCTGTTTTCTGTATCAACTAATAAAATGTAATAAATACTGTAGTATACTTTAGTTTTTTTTACTACAGTAAAAGTGGTTTATTGTATCATAATACATATAGCTGTAGAAAACATATTACAGAATGGGTGATTTGTTTATATTAGGTGTGCATCTGCATAAAACATTACAAACAATCTACGAGCAGAGATAAATACAATATAAAATTCTGAAATAAAATGAACAGAGCTTTGTTGTTTTTCAACGAGTCAAACAGTATTCAGGTACAGTAATGTAATAATCAAATGTAAAATAATACTGCTATTGTCTTCATTTTTTTTAATTAAATAAAATGATTTGCAATTAAAATGACAAATTATGCAATTAATTAGACCTAAAGCTTTTACAGTCGCAGGCCTCAGAAACACACGCAAATGCTAAATTATAATCCAGACTCAACCTTGTATTTCTTGTGATGTGACTATTGTGAATGATCATTGATGCTGAAATAATGTTCTGGGATAATTTATGTGAGCTAAGGGATAATTGACCCAAAAATGTTAATTCATAATCGTCACAATCATATTTATGCGGTGAACTATCCATTTAAGATTGTGCAAACAGTGAACCTCTGTAAAAAGTAAAGCTTTAATGTTTTAATTTTCCACTTAAATACCAGTTCCTCATCTAACATTCATTCATGCAGTGAATAACTATCATTAACTGAGTTACATATTTATTATTCAGTTTACTCTTACTCATCCACTAACTGTGGTGTCAGATGCGGTTTTGACCTCCATCAGTGTTTTTAACATCTATAAGACTCGACAGAATCTCACACAGTCTGTGGCATAAATTGATAGACTGTTTCAGCTTTAGCAGCACATCATGCTGAATTACTGATCCTGAGCTGAACATTGTTTATACAAGTACCACAAGTTATTTATTCTGGTCTAAAGACTAAAAAGCTGTTTAATATTAAAGATAAAAGGTAAACTAAAACCACTTTGTCCTCTCTGACACTAAATATGTTTTAGCTGTTTTATGATAAAAAATTATGTTTGTGATTATTAATCTGCAACCAACAACCTGCAGTATTTTATAATATGGTGGCCTTTAGCGTCATTGTGCAATATATGAACTGTGGATTACATTAGAGGCCACATCTGCATCTGACACCATATTTAGTGACTGAAAAAGTGTTGATTCAATTAGTGAATGAATGAATGAATAAATGAGATACTCACTGAATGAGTGAATGTTAGTCGCTGAACTGCTTTTCTGTTGTCATTTAAAAGCTTTTCATTTCCTGATGAACTGTGGCCTATTTGACGAGATGTTTCGCTGTTAAATGACAAATCATAAATAATTTAGTTATGAAAATATTGTTTCTATATGTATTAATCATTATATATATATATAATATATATGAGTCACTGGGGGTTGCAGGCACTGTTATTCAATGGTTCAGATCTTACCTCTCTGACAGATCATTCAGGGTGTCTTGGAGGGGAAAGGTGTCCAACCTACAGCATCTAAACACTGGGGTACCTCAAGGCTCTGTTCTTGGGCCACTTCTCTTCTCCATCTACACAACATCTCTAGGACCAGTCATTCAGAAACATGGGTTCTCCTACCACTGCTATGCTGATGATACCCAACTATACCTCTCTTTTCACCCTGATGATCCCTCGGTTCCAGCTCGCATCTCAGCCTGCCTGTCGGACATTTCACACTGGATGAAAGATCATCATCTTCAGCTTAACCTCACGAAAACAGAAATGCTTGAAGTTTCTTCCAACCCGACTCTGCACCACAGTTGCCTTTAAATAGCACAACATTGTGATTATACTATTCAGTACAATAAACTTTACTATGTGGTTCTAAAATACTATAGTATTTAGTTTAAATAACTATATTTTATTTGGGACCGTACTGCTGTTTATTTTTGTCCAAACAGTGCCATAAGACCAATAAAAAGTCAACTTTACTTCATCATTTATCATTTTCTATATTAGAGGTCCCTGTGATGATCAGATTCTCCACAGCTCTGATTCTCTCAGCTCTCGCCGGGTTCAGTGGCGCGCGCCTGTAATCCAAGCTACTGGGAGGCTGAGGTTGCGGATTGCTTGAGCTCAGGGCTACTGGACTGCAGTGGACTATGTTGATCGGGTGTCCACACTAAGTTCGGTATTGATATGGTGCTCCTGGGGGAGCTTGGGACCACCAGGTCGTGTAATGAGGGGTGAACCGGCCCAGGTCGGCGACGGAGCAGGTCAAATCCCCCGTGCTGATCAGTAGTGGGATCACACCTGAAAATAGACACTGCAGTGCAGCCTGAGTGACACAGAGAGACGCAGACTTTTTCTTCCAGGAGCACTTACACATACAAAATAAAGAGGAGAAATACTAATTAATCTCTTTCCCTAATTTTTTATTGTTCTCACCATTCTAGATTTATAGGGTCATCATAATTGCATTATAACAGGCTTCATCAGGCAGTAAATCTTTTGGACTCCTAAAATGTTCTTTTGATTATCAGAAACAATAAATATCACACACTTCTGATCACTTCTACATTCACTGTAATCCACTGCCACAATCACACACACACACACACACACACACACACACACACACACACACACACACACACACACACACACACACACACACACATTGCTGTATAATAAAGCTTTGAACTAAACTTTGGATTTGGATGAGGCAACTTTAATATTTTATTGATTTTAACACGTAATGAAGATCAAAGGCAAACATGAAGGGATTTACATTATAAACGCATCAAGAAATGATGAGATTAGAGAGTTTTAAATCATTTTTAACACACGGAAATAAACTTTTGTAGAAAATAAATTTGAAGGTGGCTTTAAAAAAAGTGTTAAATTACTTTAAAAACGAAAAAACAAATCGCCAATAGGTGGCAGCAAGAGACCGCTTTAATCGAGTGAAGCTTTGAGTGATTCATTCAGCCACGAATCCCTGATTCATTGACTCGCCCGACTCTTTACAAAGGCCAGAATCATTCGTGTAAGGAAACGCAGCTGTGTTTTATTCAGAGATGTCCAACTGTTCTGCTGTTTATTTTATTATTATCATAGTAATGATTTCACTATTATTTATGAGAAAATAACGCGGAAGTTTTTCAGCGCCTCGTCACGTGATCGTCAGCATCCATGGCAACGGTTCTTTTTGTGTTGTTTTGAACTCCGCTCTGTCATTGGCATCTGATCTCGGCGTCCTTCGTGGCAACTGATTTGCAGATTATTGATATTATTGATTGTTGGATACATCGATTGATCGTCTGCTTCTCCCATCATTCAGGTTTGACCCTTGTTATCACACTCTGGTTTGTGTTCAGTATGTCTTGTGTTCATTACAGGTTTCAGAGTCGACTCACCTACGACTCGCTCCAGTTTGAGGGCCTCAACATCACTGTGGGAGAGCTGAAGCGGCAGATCATGAGGCGCGAGAGGCTGAAGTTCTGCCAGCTGAAGATCAGCAAAGCCCAAACTGATGAAGGTGAGATGAGGAAAAGCCACTTAAACTATACTACACTAACATTAGATGTGTTATCAGACAGACTTGTAGAAGCTGACATGTGTTATCATGACTCTGATGGTGACATATAGTGATGTTTTGAGTGTTTTAAAATGTTTAAAATGTTTTAATGGCACTCAAAGTATACTATGGTAAATGATTATTACTATATTCAAACTTTATTTTGCTGTCAGAATACACAGATGATGATGCTCTCATCCCTAAAAACACATCGGTCATCATCAGACGGGTCCCTGCGGCTGGACTGAAGTCCTCCAACAGAAGATTTGTTGGGTAAGTCATGTGAAATGAGCGCAATCGTCCTCTGATAGATGTTATATTAAGAGTTTGAGTCTGTCTGTGGTGTTTTAGTCACACAAGCTCCTTTGTTTTGCAGACATCAAGCTGGACCATCAGCTAAATCTTCTCAAACAGGTGATTCTTCACTCCTCTCACTGGAGCAGCTGTTGAAGGTATTGAACAAATGATTAATTCACCCCACTGTGCTGCTCTGTATTGAACTGCAGTGTTTGCATTTGAGACGTCATAATGACATGCAGTGCAGAATATCAATACACAGTGTAAAACACACAAACGCACACACACACACACACACACACACACACACACACACACACACACACACACACACACACACACTCACAGCTTCTTAGGGAGATTTGAGGGTGTTTATTTAGAGCAAATCAGTGAAATAAAATTCTTATTTGCAAATGCCTGTAAAACAGACTGAGAATCTGGCTGAGGCAAAGGCATCAGAGGAGGACAAGCTAAAAGCGGTGATGTACCAGTCCAGTCTGTGCTACTACTCCAGCAGGTGAGCGTTCAGACACTGACAGGTTTGGTTTGTGAGAAATGTTAGAGCTGATTCTCATGGTTCTGATGTTCATCAGTGAGGCCATGACACTGCTTGGGCTTCTTCCACCCAACTATGTCTGCTTTCACTGTGGGATCCCAGGACACCACATTAGGCACTGCCCCTCTAAAGGGGTAACTGGGTTTTCTAAGCTTATGGTTGCTGTGAACTTGAGCTCTTGTCTCCATCAGTCAGATTGTTTGCTCTGTCGTTTGACTGTCACTCATGAATTCACAGGGCAGCAGCTCTGCTCCGCACAAGCGCATCCGGAGGAGCACAGGGATTCCCCGCAGCTTCCTGTTGGAGGTGGACGACCCAAACCGAAAGGGAGTCATGATGGACGGCAGCGGCAAATACGTCATTCCCATCATAGACGCGTGAGTAAACTGTACTTGGCATTGCAGCATGTTCTAGTGTTTGTGAAAATCTCACATTATGTCTGCTTGTGTGTGTTTGCGCTCGATCTGTTCAGTGAGGCCTATGCTGCTGAGAAGAAAAAGAGGCCGTCCTTCTCCTGCCAGACCAAGCCACTGCCCTCCTCTTCCTCAGCTGGTGCAGCATCTTCAGTCCAGGACGCCAGAGGGAAACGTTCCCGCTCCCCATCTCCACCAGAGACGCACGGAGACCAGAAGAGACCACGTCACTGAGAGACCTTTACTCAAGAGACCTGGAGCCGACGTGAGCACAGTGTATATATTGTACATAGTTTATGAATAAAACTGAATAAAGATTATAGCAGCATAAACTGTGGACTGGTTGACCTTCACACAATACAGAAACACAAAAGAAAATGATCAACACATTAAGATAGAAATGATGAACAAACATGCTGCGGGAGAACCAGTGTGCTGTCCTGCTCAGAATCTAAAACTTTTAGTTAAAGTCTATTAAATGTTAATCAGAAAAAAATAAAACGCTGAACAGCTTTTATAGTATTCAATAGTTTTCCTCATAAAGGGGAAAAGTTCAAGAAACATGGAAGAAAAGGCGGCATGTACATATTTTTAAAAATCCATTGGAATGACAAAGATGTGCATGCTCTAATAATTCATTTTGGCTGTGTTCATATGGTGTCCTTTGGTGGTTTCTATTGCTGTTGTTGTTTACTGTTCAGCTGACTTAAGCAAATAGATTTCTTTAAAATGTAGCTATTAAGAGAAAAAATAATGTATCTTTATATATATATATACACATGGCCTCACTGTAGGAAGGCTGCTGGTGGGAGTCCCGACTGGGTTAGATAGCATTTCTGTGTGGAGTTTGTTTGTTCTCTCCGTGTTCATGTGGGTTTCCTCTGGGTGCTCCAAACCCATGTGCTATACTGTAGGTGAATGAATAAACTAAATTAGCCATAGTGTGTGTGTGTGTGTGTGTGTGTGTGTGTGTGTGTGTGTGTGTGTGTGTGTGTGAATGAGGGTGTATGGATATTTCCCAGTACTGGGTTGCAGCTGGAAGGGTATCCGCTGTGTAAAACATATGCTGGATAAGTTGGCAGTTCATTTCGCTGTGGCGACCCCAGATTAATAAAGGGACTAAGCTAAATGAAAATGAATGAATAAATTGATTGATTGATTTTATTTAACAATTTTAACAAAAATATACAAACAAGTCCAGTTTGACATTCATATCTTAAAAACTGTCGAGGATAAATTACACAATAAATCCACAGGCTGATTTCCATCGTGGTCATCGATATTCTTAAAAAATGAACGAGCAAATCATAAAGTGCAAACATCATCAGCTCAGAAACTCAGCACAACAAAAATCCTCAACTTCAACCGTAAAACAGCCATTTTTTTATTTCCTCTCTAAAAACTCTCAAATTGAATCTCTTTAAAACTCCTCGGCAGTATATTCCAAGCAACAGTACACAGAAAAGACTTTCTACCTGTTTCACTCTTAATTCTACAAGGACAAATACCCCTGCTACTCGCTCTTGTAGAATGACAGTGTACCTCACTAACTAAAACTTAATAAGTAAATATTTTGGGACCATTTTCTTTAAAATCTTAAACACCATCACCAATTTCAGAAAAGTGACCCTTTTTCCAACTTTTAATAAATTAATTTGACTATAATATTCATTATTTAAATGTGTCAGTAGAAGTACTTTGATAACAATTCTGCAACTTATTTTGGGCCGTCTGCAATTTATTTTTCATTTTTGTGGAACTACTGCTGTACCAAAAGGCTGCAGCATAGTCAAAGTATGACTGCACTAATGCACTAGCCAATATTTGTAAAGTTTGGAAATCTAAGAGCTCTGTCTGTCTTGCTAAAAACTTAATTTTAGAACTTTTGATTGGACTATAACAGCCATCTTTTCACCTGTCAAATTACTGTCTGAAATGCAACCTAAATATTTCCCTTCATGTTTGGGTTCATTAATTTGATGCTCTACTTTTACCTCTGATCTGACACATTTTCTCAGTTTCGCAGCTGAACCAAATAAAATAAATTCTGGTTTACACAAGTGTAAGGACAATTTATTAAGGTTGAACCATTTAGAGACTTCCTCAGTTTGTTTACTTTTTTCATTTTCAATAAATTCCTTCCTCTCATGAGACACAATTATTGCTGCATCATCCGCATTTAACAAAAGCTTTTTTGAACAGGCCATTTTCAAATCATTGATGTATATTAAAAAAGGAAAGGACCTAAAACACTGCCTTGTGAAACCCCATAAGAAACGGTCGAATAATCTGAAAATACACCATTTAAATCTACTATTTGACATCTGTTTTCAAGGTAAGACTTCATGCATTTACAGGCCAAAACACCAAAACCCATTGCCTTTACTTTTAAAATCAATATCCTGTAATCGACTGTATTGAAAGCTTTTTGCAGGTCTAAGAAAACCATCCCACTTAACTTCCTTTATCCATATCGCTCTTTATATAATTTGTTAAATAAAAGAAACTGTTGAATCAGTGGAATGATTTTTCTAAAACCCGACTGAAACTCTACAATACGTCACATTTTAAACAATATTTTTCAATGTGCTAATAAATAACTTTTTCCCTCCCTTTTGACAAAGCACTCAAAATTGATACCAGCCTAGAATTATTAACCTCAAACCTACTACCTTTCTTAAAAAGAGGAATAACTCTTGCTTTTTTCAACTTTACCTTGACAAATAGAAAAATTGATAATATGTGTAACCATTGGAGTGACGCATTTAGGGAGTCTTTGAGGGAACTGCACTGGAATATTATCTAACCCTGTTGCTTTACTATTTTTAAGTGTTATTAATTTCTTAAATATATCCCCCTCCTCTATTTTATTAAACAAAACTTTCTAGATTAAAACTGCATTTGACATAATACTCTATAACTAATTTATCAATAAAAATGCCATTTTGTACTGGAAACTTTTTAACCGTCAATATCAGGTGGTATTAAAAAAATAATTAACAATGTCATAGTCAGATATAATTAAAACAAAAATGATGAAGCCAGTAAATCTGGTTGTGACCTACCCGTGTGTTACTTTTGTTTCTGATGGGGCCAAAAATTATAATGTGCCATTTATGTTTAAAGTAAAATTATTCTCTATATATATTTTTTAATTTGATATATTTTCAATTAAATTCAATATATTTCTGTCTAAGGCATATTTTTAAAATATAGACATGAAATTGAGATGATTTTTGTATTTTTGTTTACAAATAAACTTTCTGAAGTCTGCTAGTAAACTTTTAATTATTACTTACTATTAATAATGCATATAGTCATCATACATCTCTAAATCTTTATTTCTTCAGTTTTACAGTTAGAAAGACAAATCAAAGTTTAAAAAAAAAAATTAATGTAAAAGTCTGTGTCTCTCTGTGTCGCTCAGGCTGAACTGAAGTGTCTATTCACAGGCACGATCCCACTACTGATCGGCACGGGAGCTTTGACCTGCTCCGTTTCCGACCTGGGCCGGTTCACTCCTCCTTAAACGACCTGGCGGTCCCGAGCTCACCCAGAAGCACCATATCGATACCGAACTTAGTGCGGATACCCGATCGACATAGTCCACTGCAGTCCAGAAGCCCTGAGCTCAAGCGATCCGCAGCCTCAGCCTCCCAGTCAGGGGCGGACTGGGACAAAAATTCGGCCCTGGCACTGTAGCCACACCAGCCCACATTACCACACCGACACAGCCCCACAGACGGACACTCACATTTCCTACTTATATTGGTGTACAGATGGTGAAATAATATAAGCAGAACCATATAGATCTAATAGATATTTAAACATTTAACGTATGTGACTAGAACAAAAACAACCTGTTTATAACAAATTCATACAGTAAAACTAAATTAAAATAATATGTGAATCTCGTAGAGTCTGTGTGCTACCTGTTTATACCATTTGTCTGCTATTTATTATAGAAGTAACCTGTGAATGTGTATCAAACACACACACACACACACACACACACACACACACACAAACACACACACACACACACACACACACACACACACACACACACACACACACACACACACACACACACACACACACACACATACACACACACACACACACACACACACACACACACACACACACACACACACACACACCTTTACAAACAAATGGACATGCAGCACTACATTCAGCATTCTTTTGTTCATAAACAATACTTGTCATTCCCTGAAGTGTTGTTCTTTATTGGCACGGTCTATAGACTATGTTGACAGTAAACACATTGTCTGATTCTACATCTTTTCATCCATTTTACCTCTGTAACTCTGCAATTTTAATATGTCTGTATGGCTGTCTGAGATTATAGTTGTTCCTCACTCTTGCCTGACTCTTACTGTGTCCATGCTTCTTGCTGGTCTCTGCAGTCACTGTGTCATCATTATTTGAATCACTGCTTATGCTAGGCTTGACTCATTCTAGTTTTGAATAAATATGTGCTTATGAAACAATTATAGGTGACCTAAAGAATAAATATTAACAATTATGGCCTATTCTACAGTTAAGCTCAAATGTAACTATGTAGACTTAACTACATTTTTTTGTAATGAGTTCACCTCTACTGTAGAGTTAACTACAAACCCAAAGTACAGTGTGTAACGTTTATTTGTTTTTTTCTACCTCTACCACACTCCTTTCTGTCTCTGCTAGGCCTACCGTAGCATCCTTTCTCACAGCACTGGTATTGGCAACACCCTAGTTAATTAACACAGTATTGGATGTAAAGATTGCAGCAAAATGTTTTCTTACTGACTGCTCTGAACATTTGAATAACAGGGTTTCTGCAGGTTTCTTCAAATCAAATTTAAAACATTTCAAGACCCTTTTAAGACCATTATGAATAAAATTGTAGACTTATACAGGGCTAAACACAAAGGATTTTTTCTAATGGTCTGGTAACTTTAGTAAATAGTTTTTGTATTAATTGAAGATAATGTAAAGGGATTAGTTGCTTTATTTTTCCTTCCATGATTAGGGAATTTAATTTGGAGAATTTGCTGAAAATAATGTAACAGCTGTTTTAAACTGAATCTCTTTGCAATAAAAAAAAATGATTTGGACAGATTGGGTAGCTTTACTTGGATAAAGGGAAATTAAGAACTATTTAAAATGATTTAAGACCTACAACACAATATTTCAGTGAACTTAAGACTATTTAAGGCCTAATATATATATATATTTTTTTTTTAATTTAAGACATTTTAAGACTTTTTAAGACACTGCAGAAACCCTGTATACAAATTAATACAATTAAGTAATAACAGTTGCACCGAAATGAATAGAATATAAAGCAAAAACGAAAAAAGCAGCAATATTTGTGTGTACCAGCGGATTTGTACATTTTTAATCCTTCATGATATATAGTTATTTGTGAAATTATGCTGAAGTGTTGCTAGTGCTGCATCTCCATTTATGTGTAAAGGTGTGTGTGTGTGATACACATTCACAGGCTCCTATCATAAGGGTTAATTTATTTTTAAATTTGAAGTGTTTCTGGCAATCAGTAATCTCATACCCCTTGTTGATTGTACATGGAAGAGTTTTAGTATCTTTATTTGTATAAGTTTTTTCTGATTCCTTAATTTGTTTATTTTAATTTGTTGTAGACCACACCAACCCACAAGGATACCCAAAGTGATTGATAGCACTTGCATACTCAGTACTTGTTGGAAACGTTGTGGAAAGAATAAAGAGTCAAAATAATTCTGGATAGATTGAATCTCATTTCCCTGACAATGAGATGATTATGTACTGTAACCTATGCATGTATTTAATGTAATAGTTTAAAGACTAGCTATGTGTTCAGAGTTCACAACAAATGCATACAGTACTGTGGCTATAGCTTTAAGTTCTTTTGAATGTTAGAATATATTCCTAGTAGCATACAGCAGTCTGTATAACAGAAATCACGTTAATTGCTGATAATGACATTAAAATGTGCAGGAGTTCTACGCTAAGCTGACAACTGTTAAACACAATGTAACGTTAGTCACTGTGTTTAATGCACTGTCACAAACTGTCAGAAGTAGCGTGAATGGCGAGACATTTACTTGGTATGTTTTAGTATAATGAATTAGAAGTACATTTTCTGTTTTCTTACCTCCTCTACTGCGCTGCTGTCCTCCGACGCAGCAGCCGAATGTTCGTATACATTTCAGTAACTTTATGCATTTGGCAGCGTCTGATTTTAGCCAAGTGGTGCTCGCTGCAGAGCCATTTGGGCAAGCTGAGCTCCAGTGAGGGGGAGCTTGAGCTTGAGCTCCACCTTTTTTGCATTTCTTCTACGAGTGATGTCACTGGGGGTAGGGTTAGGGGTGGGGTTGGTGTACGCATTAAAACAGCTTACAGGAGGCAGAGCGAGAGCTCATGCTCCCCCTCGCTGGAGCCCAGCTCTGCTCAAATGGCTCTGCAGCGAGCACCCTCTCGATTTTAGAGCCCTTTTGCGCTCTTTATCTGAGCTTTTCGGCCCTGCCTTTTCTTTTTACGGTCCATCTCTGACAATTAGCTTGTGTGGCACTTATTGTTTGTTTTACATTCTTGCTAGATTTTGATTACGTCCGCGTAACCTCAGATTGGGTCGGCCCCTCTCAAAACCAGCCGGTCGTCGCCGATTGGACCAAATGCTCAACATTTATTATTATTATTATTATTATTATTATTATTATTATTATTATTATTATTATTATTATTATCATCATAATATCACATTTTGTAAGAGATAAAAGCTTGTAAAAGCATGTAAAAACAATACATATTAAAAAAAAAAAAAAAAAACCTGACCGGCCCACATTTAAAAAATGATCCGGCCCTTCTGGCATTTGCCAGAATTGCCAGATGGCCAGTCCGCCCCTGGCCATAGGTCACGGTGATAATTTGTTGCAGAAGTATAAATCAGCCTGAACTTTTCACTGTTTTTGACAGAAATGTGACAGTGAAACCCCTATATGACTGTTCATGTCTGTACACGATAAATGATTCTGCACTCAAAAAAATGATTCTTGCCTGTAATTGAAATTAAGCAAACAATTTAAATAGAGTTTGTTTAAAAAAGTAAAAAATAACTATTATTGTTTCAAATTATGCTGTCTCAACATGAATTTAATGGACTCGAAACAAACCTGCTCAAATTACATAAACTATACTTAATTGGTTGCCGTAAAGAGCGAATGCAGAGGTTGCGCATGCGCGTAATTTAAAAACACTGAAGGCGACAGGACGGGCATGCGCATCGGTTAGGAACACTGAAGGCGCCAGGACGGGCTTGCGCATCGGTTAGGAACACTGAAGGCGGGCTAGCCGGCGGGCTAAGCGCGAGGAAGACAACGGTAGCAGAGAAGTGACAGTGAAGATCTGATCGGGAGAGTATACAAGGTAAGATATTTTCTTCATTTGTGATTGATGTGTAAACTATTTTAAGACGTGATTCTTTTATGCGATCGATATTGATTCATCGTCACATGGCGAATTAACTGACATTGGATATTTTCGGCCGTCACTTGCATTTTTAAAATTAACCATCGTTTGAGTAAGTTATGTGTATCCTTTTTCAGTGAAGCAGATTGCTTGCATGATTTAAAAAACAAAACAAAAAAAAATCTGCATCATTTCGACGTAATTCACTTTGCAAGCAAGTTGACTATTTTTACAGTCTATGGTTAGAACACGTTAAACTTTATAATTTCTAGTAAAATTATCCTTTCTAGTAAAATATATTAATCTGTTATCACCTATCTGCAATTTGGGTCACTTTAAGCTATATATGGTCTACTATATTCCTCTTAGGAAGACTGCACTTGTAACGTAACTTAATAATAATAGATTAACGTTAATGTTAGCAATCTCCACGTAACTTTATATTTTGCATTTTTATGCTTTAAAAATATGACGAAGCGTTGTACAAACTCGACATTATTTGAAAGTTGCATGTACAAGATTGTTGGATTATGTCATACTAAAGTCGTGTACTGGAAGTGAAAAATGTAACGTTAACGTTAGCAGCTACTTGTAAATGTTTATTTAAAACATTGTGTATGTAAAAGTTAGTTGATAGTGCAATTTTTTTTTTATTTAAAAAAATGTAATTTCATTACAAAACTCTAATTATATGTCATTTTTACCATTTCAGAGATCTCATCGTTGTGACATTCCACATTGTCTCCAGTTTGGGACAATCACTCAATTACAGTAAGTGTTTTTGTTTATTTATTTATATATATATTTTTATATATATATATATATATATATATATATATATATATATATATATATATATATATATATATATATATATCTTGTTTTATTTTGTAAAATTGTTACTTTTCTCACACTCACATGTTTTACTTTTAGATATGTGAGTCTTGAGAATGTGGCAATGTAAAGTGTGTGGCACAGAAGTATCCAGTAGGTATGAGTTATTGAAACATTCTAAGCTCAAACATGGACATTTTGGGGCAAGGTTCAGGCATCCTTGTGTATACAATACATGTCCTTGCACATTTAAATCATGGAATAACCTTTTAAGTCATATATACCGTGCACACGTTGATCAGTCATCTTCAAAACAAAATCAGTTAGCTACATTTTCATGTCAGCTGTGTACATGCATTGAGTCAAATGAAAGAGATTACTTTAGTCATCTAAATGAACATCTGCGTAAACATGAAACTGTGACTTGTGTATTTAAAGAGTGTACATTTAAAAGTAACATTTATAACACATTTCATACACACAAAAATAGGAAGCACAATCCACATTGTCTAACTGACTTTAAATTAACTGTTGTCACAGTCACTGCAGACTGTCAAGAGTCAGCCAGTTCTCCCAATGATTTACCCACATGTTCAACAGAATCTGTGTTAGAGTCATGCAATGATGCTAATACTGATGAAGATGTTTTTAAGGGAAGTGTTCTTAATATTGCCCTTGTTTTATTAAAGTTGGAAAACATTTTGCATGTCCCAGCCACCGCAGTGGATGAATTACTTCAGGAACTACATTATTCATTAACTTCAGCATCAAATCAAGTCACTTGTAGCATAATTTCTGACATTTTTAAAAATCACAACTTAGAAATTGATGAATTTGTCATTCAAGAGCTTTCTGAAGCAGCAGGCAGGTCAAATCCCTTGGTTAAAGCCATAGAAAAAGGTGGTCCCCTTGCCACTGCTTTCAAGCGGAAGCAATTCTACAAAGAACATGTAACAGTTGTAGAGCCTATTGAGTTTATCCTTAATCAAAAAAGTCGAAAAACCTATCAGTATATACCAATTTTGCCTTCTCTTCAGCTGTTGTTTAGTTGCAGTGATATTTTACAGTGTGTTATTGGGGACCACGAGAAGCAAAAAACTGATTCAGGGGCAGACAAAGAACAGCAGTATAGGTCAATCAGAGATGGACTTTATTGCAAGGAAAACACATTTTTTTGTGGAGAGGAATTAAAAATATCACTGTCATTGTACATTGATGATTTTGAACTCTGCAACCCCTTAGGCACTTCACGTAAAAAGCATAAACTTTGTGGGGTCTACTGGATTTTGAATAATTTGCCACCTGGATGCAGCTCCACACTTTCATCTATCTATCTGGCAGTTTTATGCAGGACTGAACATGTAAAGTCATATGGATATGGTACAATTTTGGAGCCCCTTTTACAGGAATTGATTACTTTAGAGAGTCAAGGTGTCTACCTTCCAGGGCTTGGACGGTTTGTGAAAGGTACAGTCCAGTCTGTCATTGCAGATAATTTAGGGGCCCACAGTTTAGCAGGCTTCATAGAAAGCTTCTCTGGTGAGTACTTTTGCAGGTTCTGCATAGGGAAGAGATTGGAGATTCAAGCTGAATCTGTTCTGACTGGCGACTTTGCCCTTAGAACAAAGGAAATTCATGATGCACATGTAGCATCTGCTAAAGAAAACTCTGTAGCATTTTGTGGAGTAAAAAGAGGTTGTGTGTTAACAGAGAATTTATCTCACTTTCATGTTACTAGAGGCTATCCACCAGATATTGCACACGACCTGTTTGAGGGTATTGTACCATTTGAACTTGCACTTTGCTTGAAAGAGTTTGTTTCCAAGAAGTACCTGTCTCTTGATACTCTAAACTCATTGATTTTGAACTTCCCTTATAAGTGGGGTGATAAAACCAATAAACCACACGTTATTCCATATACATATGCCTCCAAGAAGACAATTGGAGGTAACGCACATGAAAATTGGAATTTAATGAGATTGCTTCCATTCATCATTGGAGACTTGATACCAGAGACTGAGCCTGCTTGGATCATACTTCTTGATTTGAAAGAAATAGTTGAACTTGCTGTAGCCCCTATTCATAACGAAGAAACAGTAGCCTACTTAAACTGCAAAATTGTAGAGCACAGACACAGATTTGTTGAACTTTTTCCAGCACAACTGTTACCAAAACATCATTATGTGGAGCATTATCCACAAATGATTCAGTTTTTTGGACCTCTAGTAGGGCAGTGGACTATGAGGTTTGAGGCGAAACATAGCTTCTTTAAGAAAGTAGCTCGCCACACAAATTGTTTTAAAAACATAACGCTCACACTGGCTGCCAAACACCAGCAAATGATTGCTTATCAGATCCATTCTTGTAGCCTTAAGAAGTCCAGACTAGAAGTTACTAGAGTCTCCACACTTTCTGTGGATATTTTAAACAAGGAAGTGGTAGAAGGCTTAAGACAGAAATATCCAGGGATTAATGAAGTTCATCTGGCAAAAAATGTGACAAACAATGGGATAAATTATAGAACTGGTATGCTGATTTCGTTTGGGTCAGCAGGTGGGCTCCCAGAGTTTGCTGAAATTCTTCAAATCTTTATTGTCAAAAGCAGACTAAATTTTGTTGTGAAGGTACTGTGTGCATGGTATCAAGAACATTTTAGAGCTTTTCAGTTAACTGTCTCTCCTGATAGAGAGGTTGCCCTGGTTGATTTAGATCAGCTAACGGATGCTTATCCACTGTATGATTATATGGTAGGAGGAAGACGAATGGTGACCCTGAAGAGGCACATCCTCATTTAAGGTAATGTATTTATCAAGTGTTTTGTGTAAAATAAGTAATAAAATTGTATTACTGACTTTGTCATATTCTGCTTCATACCCTCTTATAGAAAAAAGAAAGATGTCGAGTCCAGTCAATCTAAGGATTGTTTTTGGTGGGGATGAAGATGCAAGAAAGCTTGCACTTAAGACAGGAATCCCAAAGTCTGTGGATGAACTTGTCCTTGAAATAATGACTGTTTTTGGTGTAAAGCAAAAGTTCAGGCTCCAGTACAAAGATAAGGACTTTGGAAATGAATACATGAATCAGGAAGACAGGGATACCCTGAAAGTGATTTTTCTGTCAACTGATGACTTTAACTCCTGCATGCATGAGACTGCACCTGATGTACCGTCCTGTTCCAGCATTCTTGTTCCTTTGCACAAGACAACCTGTAGCTCTGACTCTCCTAACACAAGACATGCTAGCCCTTGTCAATTTGACTCAGTCTCAGAAGTCTACTTGTCTGAGGACTCATTTTCCAGCAGCACCGAGACTGTCTTAATTAAGTCTCCGGAGTCAAGAACCAGTTCTTGGCCTCAGGTTTTTGTAATTCCTCGTTTTTCTTGTTCTGCTGAAATTCAGCTTCAGAGAGCTGACACAGAGTTCAACAAAAGTGAAATGCTACTTATTCCACCACCAAAATTAAGATCTGACATTCTTGAAGGCATGGCTGAGGAGATCTTTAGGTATGCTGCATACCCCACTGATAGTCAGCTTGATCAGGCAGCTGAAGCCTTGATAAATGTCCACCCTTGCTTGAGGGAAAAGGGAACTCGCACTGGTCATGAAGGATGGAAACACTATCTAAAGATAAAGATGGCTAATTTCCGCTCAAAACTCAGCAAGATTGGACACCCAGAAATCACTGTAAATTCACTTAGGAACAAGCGTGAAGGTCGGGGTAAAGCAGCATCAAACATCAAAAAGCCAAAAAAGGCTGAGGTGAATTTCCTTCCCTGCCTTCCAAGAGGAGAAACAGCTGATAGTATGGAGAAGGAAAGAATTGCTCTCTTAACTGAAGTGAAAAAAAATAATAATGAGGCAGTCATAAAAGAAAAAATGCACTTGACCTTCTCCTATAGGCGACAAGAGTTGGTTGAGGACTTGCCAATGGTTTCTGATTTACAAAGTAGATGGCCTGCCCTGTTCACAGTCAATGAAGTAAGTGTTGGTGATATTTACACAATTATTTTCTAAATTTCAATTAATTTCTCCACAATACATCTACATTTCATCATCTACCTTTGCTTTATTTCTTTCAGATAAATGCAGAATTTATGAGGATAACGACTGTGCCTCTTCTGTCAAAGTTTTTCGCGCAGCTGGACAAATACACTGCTGATCTACAGAAGGTTTTCAGCGGCAAAGGAGGTGCTTCTGGACAGAAGATATCACGCATCATGACAGTTGCAGACAAGGTGTGGTAAATTGCATTACATTAAAAGATACATTAAAACTCTGAGTACATGAGTTTCACTCTCTATGTCGCGCATTTCATATGAGTTTGCAGCATATCTAATGCTCTGTAAACTCCTTGATGAGCATGTCAGTATGCTTTTGTGGAAACAGAGTATAAACCAAAATCCTTGAACTGAAAACCCGCCTTAAAAAGTTTTAAGATGTAACATTAATTTTATTTTAAATATATTTATATAAATATGGGCCAAGTTATCAATTCTCATTAATGCATTTGAAAAGTGTTTTGTCAGCAACAAATGCAAAATATTCACAAGCTGAGATCATGAGCTGAGGTTCAATGAAGCTCTCATTAATGTGATAGTTTACCCCAAAATTAAAATGACTTCATCATTTACTCTCTCATGTTTTTTTTTTTTTTTTAACTTTTAGGAGATTCTTTTAAACACAAAAGAAGATATTTTGAAGAATGCTGGTTATTGGTACACATTGACTTCCGTAGTTGGGAGAAAAAAAACATGTTAATCGTTGCCACCAACCAGCATTCTTCTAAATATTTTTTTTAGAATAGAAGAAAGAAACTCAAATAGGTGTGTGACAAGAAAAGGGTTTGCTTTAAGGCTTGTCCCAACCTACTGGAAGTTTTACTTCATATTTAACATTTAACAGTAATCACTATAGTTACTATATTAGTCAATGTTACCAATAATAATAAATAACAATCACAAATTAATACAAAATTAATGTTATTTTAACAATTATTGCACAACACAAAAATGCAGCAGATTAATATCTTCAATTTAATGTTTTATTTTCTATTTATAGTATAGTTCTATTTTTGACCAGGTTCCAGTGTCACACATTTCTTCCACCCCATACAGACAAATAAAACAGTTTTTGTAAATCACTTTCTTTAAAACGCAAAACTGCAGATTCCTACACTTTGTCAACATTGCAACATATAAAACACTCAAAAATGTATAATTGCCACAAAAAATTTACATTACAAACAGAAACAAAACTTGTTCAGAAACTTCATCTATGTGCTGGATATATTTCCAGGTCTGGGGTGTTGTTTCCTCATCAGGAATGCATCACTGGTCTTGTGATCTTACCCCCATGTTGGTTTTATATTTTAATATTGTATAATTTTGTCTAATTTTCAGTGTGGTGACATACACATCAAGCGAGATTGTGTCATACAGAGTCTGTGTGTGTACTTCAATGAGGACATGACAACAGTTGTCAAAGAATTCGAGGTTTGTATACATATGTCTAAAGAACCTAACATACATTGACAGTCTAGATGTTGCCAGTATTTAACTGAAATTTAAAAGTATTAATGTTTTATTTATTTATTGTTATTAAATTATTTAATATTTATTTACTTGTTTATTTTAGGATAGCAACCCTAAAGAAGCAGAAGCAAGAATTTCTGAGACCACTCTGGGGCTTTTTGTGATTCGCAAGGAAGGTGCTGGTGCTGAGGAGGAGCCAAGTGATGTTGGAGTTGTGATAGAGGGTGTAACGCTGCTAGAGAACCTAAAGAGTATTTCCTTTGGATTAGTAATTCTCTTTGGACTGATCTACGCTCTCAATTTAAGCTATCCTCAAGGTCTCAAGTTCACATTTGAATTCTTTCAGAAGGTACTGATGAACTTAGATGGCAGCAAGCTGTCCCCAAAGGTACAAGCACTTAAAATTAAAATGTTTCAGTGAATAGGACATTCACTGTTTGCCTACATGCCTTCAACTGGAACAACATTGAAAACCTTTAGACAAGAATGCCCTAAAAGATATATTTCTACCGACTGATGACACTAACTCCAGTATGCCATGGACTGCACTTTCTTTTCTTTTTTTTAATCTCTGAAACTTTTAAAACAGGATATGTTACCCATTTTACTTTTGCGTCCAGGAAGCCAACGGATTACTTCTTTTCCAGATGTATTAAGACTGTCTTGGTTACATCTCCAGCCTCAGAATAGTAGTTTTTCATGTTTTTATGTTCTTCTGAAATGCTGGTTTAGAGGACTAAAATAGTTCAACAAAAGTGGAATGCTACTTATTAAACCACTTTAAGGTTTTAAAGGGACAGTTCACGTAAAAAAATGAAAATATACTCACTATTTACACTCCCTCAATTGGTTCCAAACCTTTATGAATTTCTTTCTTCTATTGAACACAAAATATATTTTGACATTAACTTCAATTGTAGGAAAAACAAATACAGTGAAAGTCAAGGTTTCCAGCTTTCTTTAAAATATATTATTTTGTGTGCAACAGAAGAAAAAAAAACAATAAAAGTTTGAAACAAGTGAAAGGTGAGTAAATGCTCATTTTCAGGTGAACTTTTCCTTTAAAGCCACGACTGAGGAGTTTGGGAATTCAGCATTCCCATCTGCTGCGAGTAGGACTTGTTTTGCTGTTCTAAATGCTGAAAATTGTAGACCTGTTATATGTATTAAAGTCATACAAACTTTAGATATGTAAAGTAAAATGATTGCTTTTTCTTTTTATTTATTTTATTTCATTGCATTTTGTGTTTAGGTGTTATTTCATTATTGTATTGTCATTTCATTGTTAAGGGTCATTGTTAATTGTTTTAACAAACATTTAGAAAAAGAAGGGATCATTTACTTTTGTGTTATAAAATAGTAGTTTTTCATGTTTTTATGTTCTTCTGAAATGCTGGTTTAGAGGACTAAAATAGTTTAACAAAAGTGGAATGCTACTTATTCCACCACTTTAAGGTTTTAAAGGCACAGTTCACGTAAAAAATGAAAATATACTCACTATTTACACTCCCTCAATTGGTTCCAAACCTTTATGAATTTCTTCTATTGAACACAAAATATATTTTGACATTAACTTCAATTGTAGGAAAAACAAATACAGTGAAAGTCAAGGTTTCGAGCTTTCTGCAAAATATATTATTTTGTGTGCAACAGAAGAAAATAAACAATAAAAGTTTGAAACAAGTGAAAGGTGAGTAAATGCTCATTTTCAGGTGAACTTTTCCTTTAAAGCCACGACTGAGGAGTTTGGGAATTCAGCATTCCCATCTGCTGTGAGTAGGACTTGTTTTGCTGTTCTAAATGCTGAAAATTGTAAACCTGTTATATGTATTAAAAAGTGATGCAAACTTTAGATATGTAAAGTAAAATGATTGCTTTTTTAAATTTATTTTATTTCATTGCATTTTGTGTTTAGGTGTTATTTCATTATTGTATTGTCATTTTATTGTTAAGGGTCATTGTTAATTGTTTTAACAAACATTTAGAAAAAGAAGGGATCATTTACTTTTGTGTTATAGATCAGGAGAGAACATTGTTAACCATACTATGAGGTAACATGACAATGTAACTTTGAAAATGTGAAATTAATGTTTGATGTTGAATTATGTTTCCTTGTTGATGCCTGTTACTTGTAGGCACACAAAACTAAAAAGTCACAACCAGAAAGCTATTGCAGTTATTTGTTAAGCACTGCATTACAGTATGTTTTTGTCAGATTGGATGTTATTGGACAATAAATGTTAAAAAATTTAATCTGTGTTGAGAATTTATTTAATATACCTAAGAACATAAAAGGTGATTATATAAAACAAATAATAATAATGTATTCGAAATGAGTAAAGTCTATGTATTATACAAGAATAAAACCTATTTCAGCAGTTATCATAACATTTATTTAATTCATTCATGTTAACTGAACATAAATGGGTTAGGCTTAAACTAATGTTAACTTTTACGTTGGATTTATGTGATTAAATTGGATGGAAAATTGACATCCAATTGAATTACATAAAGTTTAACTTTTGGGGTTAAATATTTTTTTGAGTGTGTGTGCCTTATAGTAGGGGAGAGCGGGGACGAAAGTAACGCTGGACGAAAGTAACAAAGGCCAGATAACATTGGCTTTCCATGCTATGACAGCATATTCAGCCCGTTACTGTAACAGCAGGGCAGGAGTGGGACTTCTTTTCAGCCCTGGAGTTTTAAGCCTTAGACCGGCCCACCTCTGTTCATGACTGACTATATTAAAATAAGGTCATTTGCAATTCAGTTTCTAAAGACACTATCACGTCTTTTTCAAGGAAACAGCTGCATTAGAACTTCAAATGTTTTTCATAAATATGAGAAGATTAAAGGGTAGCTAAATCTCCAAAGCTATACTTTAAACATCACATTGTCCCTTCCTGCAATATCTGACAATATATTCTGTGCAAAATTATTTATAGATATGCAGTCTTTTGTAACGGTGGTCACGCAAAAAATCTAAATAAAATATGTACACCCACATAAGTAACCCAAACAGTATTATATTGTCCTCCTAACACTAAAAATGAAATAATAATAATAAAAATAACACTTTACTCAGGAGAGGTTAGAGCAGCAGCATCACAACACAACATGCTGACCACTGGACCACAATGTAGCTGTTATGTTGGTGAGTTTGGAAGAATAAATAAGTATTGCGCTGGTATCTGCAAGGCTCTTTTAACCACAGTATTACTTTCTATTGATGGCTTAATCTTTTCACCCCTTTTTTATATTTCTGATCAAGTTATGTCAGATTTATTAATGTAGCGAATCATCTGATTTTCATTGAGCAGGTGTAATATTCATTAATATTAATTATTCAAATTATTTTTTCACTAAGGTGCCGCTGTTTAAGGTCGAATGCTAAATGATCATCATTAACCTGCCGGCTGCGTTTTGCTGCCTGCGAGAAAATAAATAAAAAGAGTGAGGCTATGGTCAAATAAATAAATGAAAAAAGTGCGACTGCTGAGAGTGCAAGCAGCTAGGGACACCGGCCCTCGCGGCCAAAAAACTTTCCCGGTGCTCCCAATTAGCCAATCCGGGCCTGTGTAACAGGTATAGAAATAATAGTTTAATAGTTTTAATACTTTATTTATAGAATTGCACAAAATGTGTGTTTTACCTGAAGTGTTTATTAAGTATACCTGCTCCTTTAAATTTCTAAGAAAGCTTAAGTTTTCTAATTTCCTGTTCTGCACCCGCCTCCTCCTTTTCTGTACTGACTGCACTTGGGAGAGGTGGGTGTCTGCAGCTCTAATTAATCTTAAATCATATTTACTTGACTTTTGAAGCCAGTTTTTATGTTTCAATATTATGTATAACTTTCTTTTTCACATATTTCACATAGTTCGTTATTTTTGTGTTTTCACTTTAATTGAGGTTTTGATTTATATTTGTCTGATTGAAGCATGTAAAAGTGATGAGGGCGAAGACACACTGTAAAATCTGTGCTTTTGTTTACATCAGGAGTGATTAAAGAGCCGTCACAACTGCTGATACCTGTCTGGTTATTCCCACAATAAAAAGAAAACACAATGCAGAACCCTTGATGGAGCTGCCAAATATCAGATGATGGGTTCAAAGTAACAATGTGTAAATTATGTTTAAAGTGAAATTCATTCAATCATTCATTTTCATTTCGGCTTAGTCCCTTTATTAATCGTGTGTCACCACAGCGGAATGAACCGCCAACTTATCCAGCATAAGTTTTACGCAGAGGATGCCCTCCCATGTTGCAACCCATTACTGGAAAACACCCATACACTACAGACAATTTAGCTTACCCAATTCACCTATACCGCATGTCTTTGGACTTGTGGGGTAAACCAGACCAACCAGTGAAAACCCACACCAACACGGAGAGAACTAAAGTGAAATTCTTCTATAATTTTTTTAAAATACCACCCGATATTGATAGACCACACTTATGAGTTAGTAACCACAGCAAAACATATTTCTGTCTAAAACATCATCTTTTCAAAATATACTCATTTCTGTTTACAAATAAAATGTCTAATCTACAAATAAACTTTTATTCATTCATTCATTCATTTTCTTTTCAGCTTAGTTCCGTTGGTTCACCACAGCGGAATGAACCCCCAACTTATCCAGCACGTGTTTAGCAGATGCCCTTTCAGCTGCAACCCATCACTCGAAAAAACTAAACTTTTAGTTATTTCTAATTATTAACACACAGCCATGTCATTCATCTTAAACCTTTATTGCTTCTTTTTTTTTACTGTTAGAAAGATATATCAGAGTAAAAAAAAACAACTAGTGTAAAAGTCTGCGTCTCTCTGTGTCGCTCAGGCTGCACTGCAGTGTCTATTTACAGGCGCGATCCCACTACTGATCAGCACGGGGGATTTGACCTGCTCCGTCTCCGACCTGGGTCGGTTCACCCCTCCTTAAACGACCTGGTGGTCCCGAGCTCCCCCAGGAGAACCATATCGATACTGAACATAGCGCGGACACCCGATCAACATAGTCCACTATAGCCCAGAAGCCCTGAGCTCAAGCGATCCGCAGGCTCAGCTTCCCAGTAGCTTGGATTACAGGCGCGCGCCACTGAACCCGGCGAGGGCTGAGAGAATCAGAGCTGTGGAGAATCTGATCATCACAGCGATCTCTAGTGGAGGAAAACTGAATGATGAATAAAAACTGACTTCATAGCCTTATGACATTAGATAATAATAAACAGCAGTATGATCACAAATAAAAAAATTACAGTAATTAGTATCAACATAATATTTTTGAACTAAAGATTATTATACCACATTTATTAGCCTTTACAACTCATTTTATGAGTGCCACAACATTCTGTTTTCTGTATCAACTGATAAATTGTAATAAATACTGTAGTATACTTTAGTTTTTTTACTACTGTAAAAGTGGTTTATTGTATCATAATACATATAGCTGTAGAAAACATATTACAGAATGGGTGATTTGTTTATATTAGGTGTGCATCTGCATAAAACATTACAAACAATCTACGAGCAGAGATAAATACAATATAAAATTCTGAAATAAAATGAACAGAGCTTTGTTGTTTTTCAACGAGTCTAACAGTATTCAGGTACAGTAATGTAATAATCAAATGTAAAATAATACTGCTATTGTCTTCATTTTTTAATTAAATAAAATGATTTGCTATTAAAATGACAAATTATGCAATTAATTAGACCTAAAGCTTTTACAGTCACAGGCCTCAGAAACACACGCAAACGCTAAATTATAATCCAGACTCAACCTTGTATTTCTTGTGATGTGACTATTGTGAATGATCATTGATGCTGAAATAATGTTCTGGGATAATTTATGTGAGCTAAGGGATAATTGACCCAAAAATGTTAATTCATAATCGTCACAATCATATTTATGCGGTGAACTATCCATTTAAGATTGTGCAAACAGTGAACCTCTGAAAAAGTAAAGCTTTAATGTTTTAATTTTCCACTTAAATACCAGTTCCTCATCTAACATTCATTCATGCAGTGAATAACTATCATTAACTGAGTTACATATTTATTATTCAGTTTACTCTTACTCATCTACTAACTGTGGTGTCAGATGCGGTTTTGACCTCCATCAGTGTTTTTAACATCTATAAGACTCGACAGAATCTCACACAATCTGTGGCATAAATTGATAGACTGTTTCAGCTTTAGCAGCACATCATGCTGAATTACTGATCCTGAGCTGAACATTGTTTATACAAGTACCACAAGTTATTTAATCTGGTCTAAAGACTAAAAAGCTGTTTAATATTAAAGATAAAAGGTAAACTAAAACCACTTTGTCCTCTCTAACACTAAATATGTTTTAGCTGTTTTATGATTAAAAAATTATGTTTGTGATTATTAATCTGCAACCAACAACCTGCAGTATTTTATAATATGGTGGCCTTTAGCGTCATTGTGCAATATATGAACTGTGGATTACACTAGAGGTCACATCTGCATCTGACACCATATTTAGTGACTAAAAAAGTGTTGATTCAATTAGTGAATGAATGAATGAATAAATGAGATACTCACTGAATGAGTGAATGTTAGTCGCTGAACTGCTTATCTGTTGTCATTTAAAAGCTTTTCATTTCCTGATGAACTGTGGCCTATTTGACGAGATGTTTTGCTGTTAAATGGCAAATCATAAATAATTTAGTTATGAAAATATTGTTTCTATATGTATTAATCATTATATATATATATATATATATATATAATATATATGAGTCACTGGGCGTTGCAGGCACTATTATTCAATGGTTCAGATCTTACCTCTCTGACAGATCATTCAGGGTGTCTTGGAGGGGAAAGGTGTCCAACCTACAGCATCTAAACACTGGGGTACCTCAAGGCTCTGTTCTTGGGCCACTTCTCTTCTCCATCTACACGACATCTCTAGGACCAGTCATTCAGAAACATGGATTCTCCTACCACTGCTATGCTGATGATACCCAACTACCTCTCTTTTCACCCTGATGATCCCTCGGTTCCAGCTCGCATCTCAGCCTGCCTGTCGGACATTTCACACTGGATGAAAGATCATCATCTTCAGCTTAACCTCACGAAAACAGAAATGCTTGGAGTTTCTTCCAACCCGACTCTGCACCACAGTTGCCTTTAAATAGCACAACATTGTGATTATACTATTCAGTACAATAAACTTTACTATGTGGTTCTAAAATACTATAGTATTTAGTTTAAATAACTATATTTTATTTGGGACCGTACTGCTGTTTATTTTTATCCAAACAGTGCCATAAGACCAATAAAAAGTCAACTTTACTTCATCATTTATCATTTCAGATGTATGGAGAGTCAAGAATCCTAATACCAATCAGTTCTCTTGGATCAAACCTAATGGGTCATCTAGGTCACGAATAGATTTTTGGCTCATAACTGAGGAATATCTGGAGCTTGCGAACCAGGTTTTAATTTCTGCTGCACCATTGATAGATCACTGTTTGATTTCATTAACTTTGACACCAGTAAGAAAAAATACTACTAAGAAAGACTATTGGAAGTTCAATGCAGAACTTTTAAAGGATAAAGTTTATTGTAGTCAAATTAAAAACCTATAGTGAGGTTGAGAATGATTTCTCTTTAAATTCCAGTGGGATTAAATGGGAGTACTTTAAATTTAAAACAAGGGAAATTTCTATTCGGTTTGGTAAACAAAAGAGAAGCGATATATTGCAAAAAGAATAAAGAATAATTCAGGAAATTAATGATTGCTGTAACACACGATAAGGTTAAATATGTGGAAAAGTGAATCACTCTTCAAGCTAAATTAGACAGCATGTATGTAATGAAAGCACAAGGCGCTTTTGTAAGGTCTCGGGCAAAATGGATGGAAGAAGGAGAGAAGAACACAGCTTACTTTTGTCAATTAGAAAAGAGGAGACAGCAAAGTAATGCAATTCATACTTTAGTTATTAAGGATACAATAATTACGGATTCTAAACTGATATCTGAGGAAATATATTCATTTTATAGTAATATTTATTCTACATCATATTCTGAAAATAATGCTATTCAATTTCTAGAAAAGGTTAAAGATTATATCCCACAGATAGATATTGAATTTAAAGAAATGTGTGATGAGGATTTGAAGCTAGAGGAACTTAAAGCAGCTATTAAAAAAATGTGTTTGGGTAAGTCTCCTGGTCAGGATGGTTTGACTACTAACTTCTACAAATTTTTTTGGGAGGATATAAAACATTTGTTATTTGCAGCATTAAAATAGTGTTTTAATTCTAATACTTTACTTACAACTATGAAACAGGGCTTAATTATTCTTATTCCAAAGGCAAACAAAGATAAAAGAATTATTGAGAATTTGAGGCCGATTACTCTACTCAATGTGAATTATAAAATTCTTACATCTGCTATAGCTAATAGATTGAAATTTAGATTGAATCAAGTTATAAGTGAAACTCAGTCTGGTTTTATTAAAGGAAGGCTAATTCACAACAACATTAGACTTGTCTTAGATCTAATTGATTATGGACATTTAATTAAAGAGGATGGGTTTGTTTTATTTCTTGACTTCTACAAGGCATTTGATACTGTAGAACATAATTTTATTTTGAATTTTTTTGGTTTTGGTCATAAATTTGTTAAAGTAATAGAAATGTTATATAAAGACATAAATAGTTCAGTATCATTACCATTTGGGACTTCGAAGAGGTTTAACATTAATAGAGGCATCAGACAAGGGGATCCAACAAGCCCATATTTATTTATTTTAGTAGCTGAATTATTAGCATTGTATGTTAAAAATTGCAGAGCTATCAGAACTTTGAATGTTTTAGGGAGTCAATTAATAATAAGTCAACTAGCAGACGATACCACCCTGTTTCTCAGTAATGCAGAGCAGATTTCAGTTGCCATTAATCTGGTGTCTCATTTTTCAAATGCTTCTGGTCTGCAATTGAATTTAAAAAAATGTGAGCTTATGGCAATCCATAACCATACCGAAACACAACTGTTCAATATTCCAGTTAAAAATGAGGTAAAATACTTGTTGTTATTTCTAAAGACCCTAAAGATAGGGAAAAAGCTAATTTGATGGATAATTTGATAAAAAGTCAAAAAATATAAAATTTGTGGGTTCAAAGGGATCTATCTATTTTTGGTAGAATTGTTTTACAAAAGTCAGAAGCACTTTCCAGGATGATTTACCCAGCTTTTTCTTTAAGTATTTCTGATAGGTACGTTAAAAATCTGAATCAAATGCAATATAAATTTCTATGGAAAAATAAGCATCATTTTCTAAGAAAATCAGATGTAGTGAAACCAATCATTGAAGGTGGATTGAATGTAATTGATTTTGATGTTATGAATGGTACCCTTAAGCTGAAGTGGCTTCAAACCTTCCTTCGACATAAACATTCTTTCTGGTTTAGGTTTTCTTCTAAAATTTTTGATTTCTTTGGGGGCATAGACTTTCTGTTAAGATGTGATTTTGAGCCATCAAAGTTAAAGTGTAAATTGTCATCTTTTCATTGTCAGGTATTACTGTATTGGAAGTTAATATACAAACATAATTTTTCGCCACATAGCTGTTCTTTGTGGAATAATAAGTATATACTTATTAAGAGGAAATCTGTGTTTTTTCAAGAGTGGATGGACAAAGGTGTTTGGTCTATTTTACAAATTTTGGATGGGGTTGGAAATTTCCTTAATTATGATGATTTTTGTGAAAAATACCATATTATTTGTACTTAGAAATTGTATTTGTCTTTGTTGAAAGCTATTCCTGGTGGTTTGGTTCAGCTAATCAAAGGGGAATTGGGTTATTCTTCTGTGATACCAAGATTGGGCAACCTTATTATTTCTGGTATTAATTTTACTGGGCAGAGCTGTAATAATAAGACCTTAAGAAGGTTAGTAAATACACAGCTTTTCCCTTCTAAAGTTAAGAAAAGACCCCTTGTTTTAGATTTTCCAGAAGACAAGGTGGTTCGAATTCGAACAAGATTTCTCTCTTTTCCACTTCTACCAAAGGCAAAAGAAGTTCAGTTTAAAATTATTAACGATATTTATCCTTGTAATGAGTTCCTCAGACACAGATTTAATTTGGATTGTAACGTTTGTACCTTTTGTGAAGCAGACATAGAGTCATTGGAACATTTGTTTTATTTATGCAAATTTTCAAAAAAGTTATGGGATGACATTACTGTTTGGTTAAGATTAAAATATGTAATACCTGATTTTGATTTTAAAACTGTAAAATATTTATCTTTTTGTCAGAATTCTGAGCTGGAATTTTTGGTTAACAATATTGTGACTTTGGCAAACTATTTCATTCATAAATGCAGATTTTTTAATAACCCCCCACTTTTCTGCTTTTCCACAAGGATTTAATGGTCTTCTTTTTTATCTGTTTTTTGTGTGAATGCTGCTATTTGGACTTTCTAGATGAATAAGATGTTTCTTTGTTCGGTCATTTGTTCTTTTTTCTGTATGTTCTTATAAGATCTAATAAAAAATAAAAAAACTATCGCACCATCAAAACAAAACAAAAAAAAACTTTAAAACGGAAAAACAAATCGCCAATAGGTGGCAGCAAGAGACCGCTTTAATCGAGTGAAGCTTTAAGTGATTCATTCAGCCACGAATCACTGATTCAGTGACTCGCCCGACTTTATACAGAGTCCTGAATCATTCGTGTAAGGAAACGCTACTGTGTATTATTCAGAGATGGCCAACTGTTCTGCTGTTTATTTTATTATTATCATAGTAATGATTTCACTATTATTAATGAAAAAATAACGCGGAAGTTTTTAGCGCCTCGTCACGTGATCGTCAGCATCCATGGCAACGGTTCTTTTTGTGTTGTTTTGAACTCCGCTCTGTCATTGGCATCTGATCTCGGCGTCCTTCGTGGCAACTGATTCCCAGATTATTGATATTATTGATTGTTGGATACATCGATTGATCGCCTGCTGCTCCCTTCATTCAGGTTTGACCCTTGTTATCACACTGTGTTTTGTGTTTAGTATGTCTTGTGTTCATTACAGGTTTCAGAGTCGACTCACCTACGACTCGCTCCAGTTTGAGGGCCTCAACATCACTGTGGGAGAGCTGAAGCGGCGGATCATGAGGCGCGAGAGGCTGAAGTTCTGCCAGCTGAAGATCAGCAAAGCCCAAACTGATGAAGGTGAGATGAGGAAAAGCCACTTAAACTATACTACACTAACATTAGATGTGTTATCAGACAGACTTGTAGAAGCTGACATGTGTTATCATGACTCTGATGGTGACATATAGTGATGTTTTGAGTGTTTTAAAATGCTAATGGCACTCAAAGTATACCATGGTAAATGATTATTACTATATTCAAACTTTATTTTGCTGTCAGAATACACAGATGATGATGCTCTCATCCCCAAAAACACATCTGTCATCATCAGACGGGTCCCTGCGGCTGGACTGAAGTCCTCCAACAGAAGATTTGTTGGGTAAGTCATGTGAAATGAGCGCAACCATCCTCTGATAGATGTTATATCAAGAGTTTGAGTCTGTCTGTGGTGTTTTAGTCACACAAGCTCCTTTGTTTTGCAGACATCAAGCTGGACCATCAGCTAAATCTTCTCAAACAGGTGATTCTTCACTCCTCTCACTGGAGCAGCTGTTGAAGGTATTGAACAAATGATTAATTCACCCCACTGTGCTGCTCTGTATTGAACTGCAGTGTTTGCATTTGAGGAGTCATAATGACATGTAGTGCAGAATATCAATACACAGTGTAAAACACCCCCCCCCCCCCACACACACACACACACACACAGCTTCTTAGACAGACCAGTAAAATAAAATTCTAATGTGCAAATGCCTGTGAAACAGACTGAGAATCTGGCTGAGGCAAAGGCATCAGAGGAGGACAAGCTAAAAGCGGTGATGTACCAGTCCAGTCTGTGCTACTACTCCAGCAGGTGAGCGTTCAGACACTGACAGGTTTGGTAATAGGAGAAATGTTAGAGCTGATTCTCATGGTTCTGATGTTCATCAGTGAGGCCATGACACTGCTTGGGCTTCTTCCACCCAACTATGTCTGCTTTCACTGTGGGATCCCAGGACACCACATTAGGCACTGCCCCTCTAAAGGGGTAACTGGGTTTTCTAAGCTTATGGTTGCTGTGAACTTGAGCTCTTGACTCCATCAGTCAGATTGTTTGCTCTGTCGTTTGACTGTCACTCATGAATTCACAGGGCAGCAGCTCTGCTCCGCACAAGCGCATCAGGAGGAGCACAGGGATTCCCCGCAGCTTCCTGTTGGAGGTGGACAACCCAAACCGAAAGGGAGTCATGATGGACGGCAGCGGCAAATACGTCATTCCCATCATAGACGCGTGAGTAAACTGTACTTGGCATTGCAGCATGTTCTATTGTTTGTGAAAATCTCACATTATGTCTGCTTGTGTGTGTTTGCGCTCGATCTGTTCAGTGAGGCCTATGCTGCTGAGAAGAAAAAGAGGTCATCCTTCTCCTGCCAGACCAAGCCGCTGTCCTCCTCTTCCTCAGCTGGTGCAGCATCTTCAGTCCAGGACGCCAGAGGGAAACGTTCCCGCTCCCCATCTCCACCAGAGACGCACGGCGACCAGAAGAGACCACGTCACTGAGAGACCTTCACCCAAGAGACCTGGAGCCGACGTGAGCACAGTGTATATATTGTACATAGTTTATGAATAAAACTGAATAAAGATTATAGCAGCATAAACTGTGGACTGGTTGACCTTCACACAATACAGAAACACAAAAGAAAATGATCAACACATTAAGATAGAAATGATGAACAAACATGCTGCGGGAGAACCAGTGTGCTGTCCTGCTCACAATCTAAAACTTTTAGTTAAAGTTTATTTCAGAGGTGCTTCAGGGAAACTTTTTCTTATGAAAGGCCAAAAACTAAACTCGTCTGAGGGTGGTGGGCTGGAGGTAAATCTACCAAACTGTAAAATTGTCAATGTAATTTCCAAATTTATTATTATTATTCATTATATAATTTACATGATTCACTGAATACTGTAATTTACAACATTTCAAATTCTTTAATTGTATTAATAATTATACATTTTATAATGAATGAAAGTCTTACAATAAAACATGAACAATCCCATCTATAACGCTTAAAATACACTTTGCCTTCGCTTGCTGATGTCTTCTGTAATGTTTGCTCTCCTTCAAGTGACTATTATTTTATTTGATTCATTCACAACATTTCATTGAAACGTTTAATTTCAGTTTGTTTATTTGTGTATCTCAACAGTTAAAAAATAAAGTTATGTTGTATTAGAAATGACAATCTCTGTTAAAGACTTTCCCCCAAAACTCCCCATCATTCTCCCTCTCTTCTCAGATGGGATGGAGGGCCAAATCAAAGGTTACAGTGGATCCACTTTGGCCCACGGGCCCTAGTTTGGGCATCTCTGGTTTACACCGATGACATGCTCATCTAATCAATCCTGGCCAAACAAAATGTTGCAGCTCATCTGGTCTTCAATGATCCCAAGAGAGCCCACGTCACACCTCTCTTACCTCTCCACTTACACTGGCTGTCAGCTGAAGGTTCAAAACATCTCCACTTGCTACTTGCTACACTTGCCCCTCTGTCCAGAAGTGAGCACTGCCTCTTAGAACCATGCCATCAAGGATTTGGGGGTGTTTAACCCTTCTGTGCTGTTGGTGAAGTTTTGGTCCACTCTGGGCTGATTTTGAGGCTTAATTTACCAACAACTTTCTCTGTGGTTCAGCAAATGGGATGATTTTTGGTGACAAGTCTTGTTGACACATATTTTGGGAAAATACTTTTTGAATTTTTTAAAAACTCAACAATACACTCTGAGCAAATTTACCACCCTTTCATTGTGTTCATGGCTGTTTTTGCCCAAGTGATTTCCATTATTTTTAAATGCAACGTCATGACAGCGTATAATCATGCATTCTTGATTGTTGGTGGTTTTTCCTGTTGGGAAGAGGTAAGATTTGTGATTTTTACTGGTGATCATCAGTTACAGTGCAAAAAAGCTTGATTTCTTGCTTTTATTTGGTGTTTAGTGAGTGTGTGAGGTTGTAAGAGAGACTTTTACACACATATAATGATGTGTAGGAGAAAATACAAAATAGGCACCTCAGCTTTCAGAACATAGTAAACATAGTAAGTGTACTTATGCATGCACTCTATAAATTGCAGTTTTACTCCACAGAACTCCATATAAAAGTCAGACACGCTTTTGCACGGGGCAATGTAAAGGATTTAATGGTGCCAACTGATGATCAACAGTAAAAATGAAATTTGACCTCTTCCTAAGTGGGAACCCACTAACCAGAGTTGCTGCTGGTCAAAAGGAGACCCTAAGATAATTTTTACTGCGGTGCTTCAGCATAGAAACAAAAACACACAAACATATGTATTTAAATGTGTATTCATTTATTATATATAAAAATATGCATATAAACACTCAACATTAAATGTTTCATAAAATAACATTTTACGTAAAAATAAACACTGACATGTCTTCTGCAGAAAGATTCCTAATTGCAAACATTTACAAAGGTTGTCATAAAACCCTGTCTGAAGCTGTAGAGATAGACGGTCCTTGGTGCTGCATGCTGTATCTGTAACGGTCAGCTGCTGGGCCCGGTTTTTCAAAAGGTTTAATCCGGATCAAATTGATCCAGATTTAGTAATTCTGTTTTTGCGATCCGTGATCAGGTAATCAAGCTTACTTTTTGAGCCAGTTTTTCAAAGCAACATCGAATTGGATCAATCTGATCCGGATAGGAACTTTTCAGGATCACTAAATCTGCATAACCAGTGCTCAAACAGGATAGGAAATCACTATCCAGATTTTTTGGATCAAAATGATCCAGATCCTACAAAAAAGATCTGAAAAACCCAAACTAAAGGTTTGATCTGGATCAAAACCAAGATTAGATTACGTGATCTAATCCGATTATGTAATTCGTTTTTTCTTTTAAAAAACCCATTTTCAAGATTTGATCCAATCCCTTATCCAAAATCCTAGTGGATTACTTTTAAAAAACCAGGCCCTGGGCCCGTTTTTTCAAAAGGTTTAATCCGCATCAAATTTATCCAGATTTAGTAATTCTGTTTTTGCGATCCGTGATCACGTAATCCAACTTACATTTTGAGCCAGTTTTTCAGAGCAACATCGAAATGGATCAAACTGATACGGATAGGAACTTTTCAGGATCACTAAATCTGGATTACCAGTGCTCAAACAGGATAAGAAATCACAATGTAGAACTATAGATATGTAAAGAGCGACAAGTAGAATAGCCAGCGTGGGGTCAACATAACTTTATTTTTTTTAAATGAAAACTTAATAAATATTAAATTAATAATAATAATAAATAATAAAAACAAGAAAAACAACACCGCATCCTCTTCCAGCAGTCCGCTCATCTGAGACCTAAAACACTGTACATTGAGGATATTTATAATAAGTTTCAAATATAGATGTAAATAAAAAAAAGACTTAATGTCAAAAACTCCACAATAATCTCAGACTTCCTCATCTGATGTGGAGAGAGCAGCTTGTCTGAGCGTAGCCTTTAGGAGGCGAATCTTAAGTCCTTAGCCTTGGTTTGCTGCAGTTTGGTCAGAGTCAGTTGTTCCCCCGCCAGACGAAGCTGTGCTTCTGCCCTTTCAGTCTCTTTTTGCAATTGTTGAAAGAGATTTCAAAAATCAGTCATTGCCATTCTTTGCATTTTTTTGTTATTCTGTAATCATTGCATGCATCACTAATAAATATTCTAAAAAGAAAAATATTTTTCATTGTGATGAATATATATATCAATTAGAGACAAAATAAAATTGATTGTTTTTGGTCAATTTTCACAGCTGTTTGGGGGATTATTTTATGAGGCCAAACTCTTTCTATGTTGCTGGAGGCCTATACTGAAAGGCTAAATACATTAAAGCCAATAATCACTATAGCCTGACGGATGAACAAATAAAATGAAAACCTTATGAATAAATAGTATATATCGTAAGATACTGCATGATCCAAAAATAGTATTATTTAATACATTTTTTAAGTTTTCATTACATTTTAGGCATGAAATCCACGCTAAATCCACCCTTCTGATGGGATCAGTTTAATCCAGGTTTTTTGGATCAAAGTGATCCAGATCCTACAAAAAAGGTCTGAAAAACCCAAACTAAAGGTTTGATCCGGATCAAAACCAAGATTAGATTACGTGATCTAATCCGATTAGGTAATCCGTTTTTTTCTTTTGATAAACCCATTTTCAAGATTTGATCCAATCCCTTATCCAAAATCCTAGTGGATTACTTTTGAAAAACCGGGCCCTGGGCCCGGTTTTTCAAAAGGTTTAATCCGCATCAAATTGATCTGTATTTAGTAATCCTGTTTTTGCGATCCGTGATAACGTAATCCAGCTTACTTTTTGAGACAGTTTTTCAAAGCAACATCGGATTGGATCAATCTGATCCGGATAGGAACTTTTCAGGATCACTAAATCTGGATTACCAGTGCTCAATCACAATGTAGATAAATAGATAGGCCTGTGTAAAGAGCAACAAGTAGAATAGCCAGTTTGGGGTAGATATAACTTTATTTTTATTTAAAATGAAAACTAAGAAAATTTAATAAATAATAAAATAATAATAATAAATAATAAAAACAAGAAAAACCCCACCCCATCCTCTTCCAGCAGTCCGCTCATCTGAGACCTACAACACTGTACATTGAGGATATTTATAACAAGTTTCAAATATAGATGTAGATAAAAAAAAAGGCTTAATGTCAAAAACTCCACAATAATCTCAGACTTCCTCATCTGATGTGGAGAGAGCAGCTTGTCTGAGCGTAGCCTTTAGGAGGCGGATCTGAAGTCTGGCCTTGGTTTGCTGCAGTTTGGAGTCAGTTGTTCCTCTGTCAGACGAAGCTGTGCTTCTGCCCTTTCAGTCTCTTTTTGCAATTGTTGAAAGAGATTTCTAAAATCAGTCATTGCCATTCTTTGCACTTTTTTTTTTTGGTTATTCTGTAATCATTGCATGCATCACTAATAAATATTCTAAAAACAAAAATATTTTCTATTGTGATGAATATAGATATCAATTATTGACAATAAAATGTATTGTTTTTGGTCAATTTTGACAGCTGTTTGGGGGATTATTTTATTGGGCCAAGCTATTTCTACTTTGCTGTAGGCCTATACTGAAAGGCTGAATACGTTAAAGCCAATAATCACTATAGCCTGATGGATGAACAAATAAAATTAAAACCTTATGAATCAGTAGTATATCTCGTAAGATAATGTGTGATCCAAAAATAGCATTATTTAATAAAATTTTTAAGTTTTTATTACATTTTGGCCATGAAATCCACACTAAATCCACCTTTCTGGTGGGATCAGTTTAATCCAGGTTTTTTGGATCAAAGTGATCCAAATCCTACAAAAAAGGTCTGAAAAACCCAAACTAAAGGTTTGATCCGGATCAAAACCAAGATTAGATTACGTGATCTAATCCGATTAGGTAATCCGTTTTTTCCTTTGAAAAACCCATTTTCAAGATTTGATCCAATCCCTTATCCAAAATCCTAGTGGATTACTTTTGAAAAACCAGGCCCTGGTGTCAATTTTCAAAACTCTAGATACAAAATTCACAACCATTGCTAAAATTGCACATTTTTTTGCAAAACCCTTAACTCTTTTTTCAAATG